AATCCTTTTGTATCATAGGTCTGTAAGTTTTGCCATCAAAGGATACTCGTATCAATATAGCAGAGAGATCATTAACGATAAATTGTTAATTTTCCCGCCCTTTGACACTTGAGTAGCATGACTTGTTGCAATTCTTTTATGAAACATGTTATATTTAATGCTTCAGCGAGGCTCACATATTCCATATGCAGGAATTATATATTTAATGGAGAGAAAGGCAAACCTTAGAGATCGTAAGGGCAGGGCTCCATTGTTCCTTCAGGATATCAAGACAAATACTACCATTGCTATTAATGTTTGGATGGAAGACCTTGGTCCTAAACGCAACCTGGATGAATAAGGTCATGAGATCTCAAGACCATTTAAGAAATCAAATAAATCAATGCACAGACATGATAGCACGATGCCATAGTGCCTACAAAACATAATTTACCTTAGGGGGCTTGAAAGGATAATCTGGAGGAAAATGGATCGTAACTAGAAATACACCTCCAGCATATGGGCTATCAGCAGGGCCCATGATGGTTGCTTGCCAATGAAACATATCTTCAGCAACTGGACCTGTTTTGAATAGAGTATTGAGAAAACTATGAAATTCAACATGAGCATACCCAGTGCTGCAAGCATCGATATGATGATTGTATTATCTAATCTAAGAGACATAATTTTTTATTACTATCAGTTTCATTTTTTTTTTTTCCTAAGAGGAGGTCACTATTGTAAAATAGACATACTCCTCCTGACTACAGAGCCTTGAAACAACGCCCATGTAAGGGGTTGATTTCGGCTCTGGACTGACAAGGAGGAAAAGAATGGAGTCTCCAGTAAGTTTTGACCACTTCATGCCAGATTATGTATAATTATCTCAAGCAGTTAGACACCTTTTGTCCATAAACCTCCAGTAGAAACTTACAGTCATCAATAAGATTAGCATCAGAATGAGAAGATAACCAGTTTAACTAAGGCTAATGCACAGTAACACTTAAAGCTGCTGCCGCTAGTTACTTTGCGAAGCAAATTCAACAGATTAAGGTTTAAACCATCCTTTATTTCCCACACCACACCACAGCTAACAAACTCAAACAAAAACAATTTCTGAAGTATATCTCGAGAATCCCTCAGCCAAACTACCTTTGATCAAACCTCTTCAGTTGTTTATACCAGGAATTTAGGGTGTCCCACAGAAGAGCGAGGTGCATTGATGTTTAACATGTGTAAGAAATAATTTATGAATTTTAAAGATTTACAGTTGATACAAGACCGCAACTCTATGCTTTTGCTAGATAGCAAACTTAATTTCAAGAATCCTTCGGCTTTCTGTGGAGGGTATACTCACCATTAAGAAACAACCAAATATGTATTCATAAATAGGGTCATGAATATGGTTGCCTCTCCAACGACTGGAGCATAACAATCATAAAGATTTCAATTTTCACTCCATAGTTAAGGATCAAAATTTCCCCCACGCTGAAGATTTCTCCAAATTATGATTTAGGAGACCAGAAAAACCTGATCAAGATAAAATATCTTGAATCCCACTCTGCTCTCAATATCAAGTATGTCAGCCTTCATAGTAACACTAAATTCAAGTTCAACTTGGGGCTTTGATGTGACAAGCACCCATAAGAGAGATCGGATATGCAGAGCACAATACAAATACATTAGTTATGTAATCAAGATTTTAGTTTAAGAGAACCTAATTGTAAAAGTGCATTAAGTTCTAACCATAGGAAGCGAAAATTAAATCTGCAGTATAAATATCAACCTGCAATGATATATTCATCATCTTCAAATACATTATCTTACAACAAGCTATGCATACATAGAGGCCAAGAATGTGATATAATGTAAGGCTATAACTAGTAGTGAACAGCTGAGCTGAAAACCTGAAGATCAGAAGCTGATCTCTAATAAAACAATCTTTACTGGCAGTGCTAACCAGAATTAGACATACACCCTGTGCTGACAACTGAGGGATGGTCATGAACAAAAAACACGTGAGTGACACATAAGAGCTTTCCATGACACAGAAAGGAAATACCTGCCCTATAGTTTGAATCACAAAATGGCAGAGATCGAATTTGCAAACCAATAAGCAAATTCATGTCAACCTGAAACTGAAACTTCAGTCTATAATCAAATGCGCGTTACAGACAAGTCTATAGCATGTTATCGGCTAACTTACTATATACTCTGAGCATTATAGGTTCACTAAATCCCAGCAATTAGTGGAAATCAGAAACACCCAAAATCCAGCCATCTTAGAATGTAGAATGCATCTAAAGAAGGTGCATACACAAATGAAAGTGTAAAGTGTAAACAAATAATGATGCAAAAAGTCACATTGTTCTAGAACCTGCGCTGCATGACGTGGGTGGATCTTTCTGCAAGTCCTTAAGCTCCTTCAAGATGCGCTTCGAAGCCATGTCACTTCCTCCAACCGATGGACAGAATCACCACCTACAGAAAAGAAAGTGTTTCCATTTTTAGTCTAACCAAACATCCAGTCATCGCAACAAGTCAGATACAAGATACTTTATCACAAGACGTGAAGCGATCGTGCAAAAACGAAACAAGCAACAACCCCAAGAGCTATAGATCACAGAAATCATAGGGTATGCGAAAGGGAGGGAAGGCTAGAGAGGTTATAAATATACTCGTCTGGGGAATAAAGGACATGGGGAAGAAGCGGGAGGAGGAAAAACTCATACCTGAAAAAGAGCAAATTGAGAGGCGAAGCTGGAAGAAACAGCTTCGAGGAGCGAGGGATTCACAAGTCCCGTGGCCGCCCAGGCTCAAGAAACCTACAGGTTTCTCTCACCTCTCAAGAGCCCTCCCTGCGAGATTGCTGATACCGAAAGCTTACAGACGAAGCCCTTCTTCGATTTTAAATGAAGGCAAGGAAAAGTCAAATGACACCCTTATCCATTCCTTTTTGTATTATTCCACTTCTTGTCCCATCCTCGTGACATGAATATACTTTTTTTTTTAAGTCATATTTATAAATCATTTCCAGTATATTTTATAGAGTAGAAAGAAATCTTAAATTTTATTAAGTTTTATTTAAAATTTAATAATTTTTTGATTTTATCTCTATTTAATATACTCCTCCGGTCCTTATTATAAGACCCAATTTGACTTTTTATTTGGTCCTAATTATAAGACCCAATCCATTTTCTCTTTTATATTTATGTATTTTTTTCCAAGATAATCCTTTTAATAATGATAGTTTTAGCCAATATACTTAATTAGCAAGGATATTTTAGGAATAACAACACTTATTTATTATAAATAACCAGTTTAACTTATTTCCTTAATCTCCTCAAATAAGTCAATTGGGTCTTATAATTAGGACCGGAGGAGTATATTATATCTTATATAAACAAAATCAACATAATAAAAAATAAGGAGAAAATTATACATTTATATAAAAAATTTCTCTAAATTCCCTATAAATAGGACTAAAAAAATATTTTCTTTTTTACCTTACAAATAAGAGCAGATGAGTAAGTATTTATAAGTACATTTATACAAATCTTCTTATATATTTCCTCACTAATTACTTATAGGCCCTTAATCTTTCCTAAAAATCTTCTGTGATTTTTTTTTCCTCCCGAGTTTTACCCAACTCTAGGTTAAAAAAATCCCCTAACTAGAAATATTTTGCCCCATTATCTAGTTTTTTTTTCCTTCCATTATTAAAAAAAAAGGGAGTTTTTCTGGATGATTTATAAATAATACGATTTTTATTTTTGTTACCAGTTTCATAACTTTTATTGATTTAATCTAAAACAGTTCTTTCATCAAAATGAAATTTCCAAATTTGGATGAAATGACATTACTATCCCTCACTTAATGAGAAAACGTCAAACTGTGGCTTTTGATGCTCAGAAGAACACAACCATCGAGTCGAGGTTTTATAATAAAATAATACAAGATAACATATTCGTATAATTAAGTTTTGAGATGAGGAGAATCCCACAACAAAAATTTTAAAATTACCAAATTCAGAATCAGAAGATATGATAACAACATTTTAATAAATATTAGCAACATTAAACTTACTAATAGTAAGGATTCTTTATTCAATTATGTGGAACTGGACAAATAAGAGGAATTATTTATATTTAGGATTTAGTAATCCTGGCAAAAAATGATTTAGTAATTACTACCTCCGCTCTTAATTATAAGAGTTTGTTAACTAATTTGAGAACATTAAAGAAATAAGTTAAGTTAGTTATTTATAGTAAATAAATATTGTTTTTTCCTAAAATATCCTTACTAATCAAGTGTATTGATTAGAATACTATTATTAGAAGGATTATTTTGGAAAAAAATATAAATATGAGAGACAAAGTGGATTAGGGTCTTATATTTAAAATTAAAATAAAAATCAAATGAAGTCTTATGTTAAATATCAGATATAGTATTAATTAGTAATTTTGTTTCAGTTGGTTATATTACTAGTTTGAATCCCGATATGTTAGTGGATGAAAAATTTATAAGCTCTGTGAATAATCTAAGACTAAAAGAATGCTTTGGACTTGTCTCAACTAAAAACTAAAAAATGTTTGGATAGAAACCAAATCATAATTTTAAAAATATTATTTCTGGTTTTAATTATAAGATCTAGTTGACTAATTTGAGGAGATTAAGAAAAAACGTTAAATTAGTTATTTGTAATAAATAGTGTTATCTTTCCTAAAATATCCTTGCTAATCAAGTATATTAGTTAGAACCACTATTGTTAGAAGGACTATATTAGGAAAAATATATAAATGTGAGAGACAAAATGAATTAGAATCTTATATTTAGAATCAAAATAAAAATAAAATAAAGCTTTATATTAATGACGAGAGGTAGTCATTTTATATATACAGCATATATATGGAGAAATTTTTCTTAGTGTACGGGAGAGTGTTTTATTTTGATGTCCAAACGCCCCTCATCACACCTAAACTTTTAAAAGCCAAACCAAAACTGAGAGTTTCGGGTTTGTGTTTGGTGATCGTATGGAAGGCGTTTGACTTCACCGCCCGTGGGGACATTAGTTAGTACGTTGCCTGACGTCGCCTCGTCCTAATTGCGCCCTGGCGAGAAGCTGGTTGGGTTTAGCGGCTTGAGGTTTTCCTCCTACTTAAACCTTTGTCTCCGATGGCTTGGTGAACCAGAAATCGTGTTGAAGCTTCGCATAAGGCTTTTGTCCGTTTCTACTGCCAGGTTCGGCGATTTATGTGTTTTCTTCCAAAAAATCTCGTTAATTTAATTTAATATAGATGATCCTCATTTTATATGAAGTAGCCATCTCTGTTAAATATCGTCAGTAGCATTTTATTCACTAACTCATGGCCTCGTCGAATTTTGTCTTCTACAGCGGCTTCAACCTCTTGTTCTCCTCTGCCTTGGCATCTTCTAGGGCATGAGGAAGAAGTTCTCTCTTTTCATCATCGTAGCCTGCCCCTTGCTAAAATTAAAACTCCAGTAACTTTTATTTTTGTAAAAAAAAAAAAATCAGCTTTAACGACGTTGCTCTTTTTACATATACGTCTGCCATGCGGTGCCTTGTCATCACTTCCGTTAGCAACTTTTCTTTGAAGTACTGAAAGCCAACATCCATGACCTGCCTCTTCTCCGTCTGGTCGTGTCTGTTCACTCTCTGCTTACGGGTTAGAGATTTTGTGATGAAAGCTAGTTCTTCGCAGCTCTGCTGTGTTTTTCGTGGATTGAGATGGGACGGGGATGAGAGATATTTAAGATTTTAATTTTCAAATAAATTAACAGTGTTAAAGAGAGGGTTACTGATTACTCTATATTACAGATGCGTAAAAAAGGATAATGGCAAGTTTTGTCGTTTCGAAGAGACATTGCACCATATTTTGTGCTCAATTGCTTGGTACACAATCCGATGGTGCAAATAAAATTTGCTCTTTTATTTATCCCAAATTGTAGGCTATCATATTCCTCTATCTCATTAATCTGTCTATGGACTTGTTGTACCTTACAACTATCCAGAAGTTCTTCAGTTCTGTTTTGTGGATTTTATTGCCTTGTATTAGAAACAAATTGTTCAATTTTCGTGGAATGCTGCAAAGGTATTGATCTTTTAAGGTTATTGAGGAATCCCAGTTAAATGACTTGATATTAAAAATGAGAAAATTAATTCTGCTAGTGGATTGCTAAATTGTATGTTCCATATTCTCAAGAGTTATGCTTGGAAAACATCATTAATGATTTACGCGGTGACCAAATTTTTGAATTTACAGCGTTCTCATGGAATGCTCGTCATCATGAAGAGAGTTACTAGAGAGGTTGACATATGCGAGCTTTTACACTTTATCAGAATGTTTCCCTTTGATATTGACCGCTTGAGATAATTCACTCTGCTTCATTCTAATCTGCTAATTAATTCTTATCCAAATGCTTAGTTTGGTGTGGAGTTAGTAGCGGCAAAGCAAATCCAAATTGTTGCTTACAAAAAAATAATGGCTTTTGTTTTGATCTCTTGTGCAACACGTAGATCTATTAAATCTTATTTCCCTTCTTCTGGCTCATCAGTGTCTCGATGCCTCTCAATATTTGATCCTTCCGTCCCCACTCAATCATCTGTTAATCTAATTCCTACTCCGAAACCTTGCCTTTCAAATCTTCCATTCAGTCCATTCAGGCAATCCGTCCCTCAGATTTTTAATTCTGAATTGTATAGAACTATTAGACTTCATCCAGATTTCTGTTTTGTTGCAACCATCTCTACGTCTTCTGGTGTGGGAGGGGATTCTAAGGAACAAAAGAATTCAAGTGGGAAAGAAAATGACGCAAGACTTCCAGCAGCCAACCTCTCTTGGATTGATTTATATCTTCCGAGGCAGGTTCAGCCATATGCTCAACTTGCTCGGCTTGACAAGCCAATTGGAACGTGGTTGCTTTTATGGCCTTGTATGTGGTAAGAATCTTGATTTTGATTTTTTTTTTCCCCCATTTTCTTTGTGAAGGAATTCTTTGTTATTGAGGAAGCATGAAGAGCTGTAATAATTTTGACGGGTAACTTGACAACTAATTAGCACAGACGCACAAAATGACACATGCAGCTGTTTGTGTATATAGCATTTTTATCAAATTGCAAACTGGAATGCTTATTTATGAATTGTAAATTGCATCCACTGCAAATTCAGTTACGACTGAAAAATAACTTGATAGGTACGTCATATGATTTGACAAAATACTCAAGGTATAATTTGCTAAGTGAATGATTTTTTTTGAAGTTTTAAGCATTCATAAATTCACAGGAACTTCTTTAGTAATTATCACTTTTTTACTTTCCTGTTTGAAGTTCCTTATTCTTACCTCATTCATTTTTACCAGTGTTTCTGATTTTATATGCTCTATGCTGCAGGTCAATTACATTAGCAGCAGCTCCAGGGCATCTTCCTGATTTTAAAATGTTGGCGCTGTTTGGATGCGGTGCATTACTTTTAAGGGGCGCGGGTTGTACTGTCAATGATCTTCTTGATCGGGATATTGATACAAAGGTAACTTAGTTGCTTTCATCCTTGGTTTTACTTCTAATGGGAGATGGGGATTTTGTGCTTTGAATTATTATTCCTGGAGTTTATCTAAGCATGCACCTATTTGTCTTATTCAGAATTATACTCTAAAGATGTTAGCCCTCAGATGGGTGTGATAAACATCCCAATAACTAGCAAAATTCTTCCAGACGTTTGTTTATTTTATTCAGAATTAATGCAGTGCAGAATATAAATTCAGTTTGCAAGCCATCTAGAATCACTCTTTGGATTTAAATTTTGCCGCACTCAACTACTTTTCCCCCCGTCAAAAGGACTACATGTTCGTTGATAGAAAACTAGAACAGAGCAAGGACAAAGTCTAAACAACCCAAAGAGTAACAAACTGAAAACTGAAAGAAAACAATTAAGATTAAGAAGACACTAGACAGTGACTGACACCAGCTTGATCATCCAATCTATCTTCAGTAGCAAAGTCTGCAAGGGGGTTGGAGGTTGTAAAACCCAACTAAAATCCCATACTTGCACTCAATTCACTTGGTCGTTAACAGCTGGAGATGCATTCCTATGACTCAACACCTTTGAATGCAAGGAAATAGCACTCTGTTGTGGCTCTTGAGCACTGTGTTTTTATGACCATAAACGGTCATACTCATGCATGAGCAGCCAAAATGCTATAAGCAAATGGGAGAAGATGGTGGACTAAGAATTTGTATTTGTTTGTTACTGATTGTCTCCCAACTCTTAGTATGACCCTGGGAATTTTTGTTGCCTGATTCTTTTTTTACGGTATTATTTCATTTATGATTTTTATTTGTAGTTCTGAATAAATTTTTATGTAAACATATGATGCAGGTAGAGCGTACAAAGGTCAGACCAATTGCAAGTGGTCATCTGACACCATTTCAAGGGCTTTGTTTTCTCGGTCTTCAATTGCTTTTGGGTCTTGGGATTCTTCTGCAACTAAATAATTATAGGTTAGTGCTAATTATGAACAGCACATTCTGTAGTTAGGCGTTGGGGCCTTGGTCAGTCCATCTTTGTTATATCAGGTTGCTAGGCCCTTAGTTTTGTAACAATCAGACCAATTGGCAGGAAAACTGCACTACACAGCAACCATGATCTGGATTGCATGTCCTAAATAGGGAAACTAATGTTCTACGTACTTCTCGTTTTAGAAAACATTCTTCTGTTGAATCCCTTCCGTATTTTCAGCAACTCTATTCCTATATTCTGCTTGCATTATTTAAATGAGCTGTGTTTAGGCCCTCTGCATTTATAGGAAATAAGTTCTTTCTAATTTTGTTTCTGAAATCTTGTTACAACCTCTATTCTTACGTATCTAAAAAATGATATCTACGGAATCCTGCTCTATGCTTCATTTAGGGAAGAATTAAAAATATAGTATCTGACTTGAGTGATTTCCAGGGGTGCCATCACCAAAAAAAGAAAACTAACTAAAACTTAACCCAGACTTAGAAGGGCATTCTCTGCGCTCCCCACATCACAGTGACTCTTGACTCTTTTAGTTAAGTCCTTTGCATCTTTTGGAAAAAATTTCTGTTAACCTTTTTTCTTAATATTTTGAAGTTTTTATTCTTTTGCATCTTTGAGCTTCTACTGACTTCAATTGAAGACCCAGAAATATAGAAATTGATTTGAGTAAGCTTAGGAATACCCTGATTGAAAATAGCAAGCCATTTACGGTTACTTTATATTACATATATTGCAAAGTAGCATCCCTTTCCCTTCCCACACCATGAGCACCCATAACTCTTTCTGGAAACCTAAATTTATCTACTTAATCTGTCTCATTGAGTTATTTCAAATTTAAATTGTCAAGATCCCTAGGAATGGCAAGAAATATCATTGTTATTCATATATGGATTTTTTTTTTTTGTACCAACATCAAATTGGAAAACCATTTTTATTCATATTGAACGCCTAACAGAACCCCTGATGAGGTTCTCAGAAAAGGAAGTGAGGCTGTTACAGAAGATACTAGCTCGCACTAGGAAACAGTGAATGATAAACCTTGAAAATGGCGACTAAAAGAAAGAAAATAAAGATAATGGAGAAGGGACGAAGCTCCTCCATCAGCCTGCTGTTCAAGAGGCCAGACGCTCTCCTCATCAATAAGCCAAATACTTTCTTCACTCCTCTCAGCCCTTAGACACCTATATAAACCCCTACAACCACAATCTCACCCCCTCCCCTAACCCTCACCCCAGACATGTCCTTTGTGACATGCTTGCGCAGCTCCCGTTCTCAGGCCTAATTGTAGTTTTTTCCCTCTACACAAAGGCAATATACCAATAAAAATCCGACAAAAATACCCCAGGATCTAAAATATCATGATAAGTCCACACATGGTCCAATAGGAAAAAAAATCCAGGTTGACCGGCATTCTGCATTGTTGAAAATGAATATTACTTTTAAGTCCTCATTTTGCAATCCGTGATTTCCTTCTGCTATGCATTTAAGATTTCTTTGCCTAGTGGCCTCTTTATCCTGCAGTAAGTCCTTTTGAACTGTATGAGTGTATTCTTTTGGGACTGTTACTCCAGTACATTACCAAGGTATACAATTAGTGCCTGTTTCTATTATTCATGGAATCAGAGTAAAATTTTGATTGAGCTTTTGAACAGAATACGCTGTTGGGCTGATAAAGGCTGTGCTAGCCACTCTATGAACTATCTAATGTAATATGATGAAGATGGTCACGGTCAGGATAATGCTTTGGAAGCTAAGACTTTGGTCAACAATTTGCCATTTTAAGCAGAGTTTGCCAGTCTGCTTTATTGATTCTGGAAAACTAATGACTTTTCTCACATGGTTTTACTAGTACAATGCATTTTCATAAAACTTTTCTTTATCATTATTCAGTTTTTATACTTGTAATTTTGATTGATATTCAATATTCAGCGACATGTGATTCCTCAGCTAAATTTTGATTAATTATGGCTTGTGTTCTTATGGCAGTCGTGTCTTGGGAGCTTCATCTTTGTTGCTTGTCTTTTCCTATCCTCTCATGAAGAGGTTTACATTTTGGGTAATGTAGTTTCCTTATTTCTAGTTTCCGTTAATAGATCCTACTCCTATCTTTGAAGGATGATCTCACAAAGCCTTTTATCTCATGTGACTTCATCTTTTAGCCTCAAGCCTATCTTGGGCTGACCTTTAACTGGGGGGCTTTATTAGGATGGGCTGCTGTGAAGGGAAGCCTGGATCCAGCTATCGTGCTTCCACTTTATGCCTCTGGAGTTTTCTGGACTCTTGTGTATGATACAATATATGCTCATCAGGTACAAATAGCTGTGCTGCTTGCAAGATGCCAAGATCTGGTTTTCTGATTTTGCACCTCTCTTCCTTTTTTACAATCTGTTCGTATTATTTAGTTCCTATTTCCTATATAGCAAGAGTCCATGCCTCTGTCCTTGCAGTGTGTTCTGTCTTCTAGGGAAATGTGTTGGGCTAAGCTCTGTTGCTGTAGCCAATGTAAAATTCTAGTTGTAGGAGCATATATGGGATTTGGCCAGGTGTGCTTACCTTTGTTACCCAGTCTTCTAAATTGTCAATAAACCGAAGTAGCTTAAGCTGGTTGGAGAAGATCCAACATTTGTTTTGTAAAATATCCTTTACCGAATCTAATCACAAATCCCATTGATACTTGAATTTTGGACAAAGCACTAGCTCATCATGTTTTTTTTTTAATAAAAAAAAATTTTAATACATCTGAAGAATGATGATAATTTGTTTCAATTTCTCTGCTCCATGCTCTGTTTACTGTTTTCTTCATAAACTTTCCCATCAGCGTTCTTACCAGTGTTCATGTTGCTTTTTTCACTTTATTTTCTTGCTAAGGTCAGTCATGAAAGCTTTATCGAATTGTCAAAACACTAAAGCAGCAATGGAAAAAGTTTTTGATCTTTTCTCTGTTGTTTGATATCTTAAGTTCCAAATTTGGAAATTGTGCTACTATTGACTCTTTAAAGCACATTTTCCTTCTTGGCAGCTACATCCTTTTTTTACTACTCTCACTCCTCTTTCCCTAATCTGTTGCATGTCAAATTCTAGTTTGTCAGGGAAAGAGATCCTGGCAATATGAACTGTAGAGGGCATGTTCTACTTTTACAAAACAAAAAGAGGGAAGCAAGGCCGGGCCTAATTCAACCAAAGCAAATGAGACACTGGTCTGCTTCCAAGAAAGGAAAAGGAAGTATGTGTGAATAACGAGCTCACTGACACATGATGATTGTGAGGTGATGCTCTGGCACAGAGAGGATTTTTTTTTAATTGATATACAATATAAAACTTATATACGAAATGAAATACATGCAGCACTTGATGAGCTAAGACAAAAATGTAAACCAACCTGAGCAACAGCAGAAGAAGACACTAAAGAAAGAGCTAATTGTCTAACATCCTGTTTAATGATATGATGATCACGAGGGAGAGATTTAAATGGCTGAACCTGACTTGATGACTTAGCCACCAATAAAATAAAATCCCTGCCTCCCACAGCAAACCTGAGGTCTTAATCCTGTGAAGCACAGGAGGGAAGATATCCAAAGTAGCCATCTTCTTCGCAGTTAAGATTTCACTTTCTAGAATGAAATCCCATAAAAAATAGCCTTGGTGAAATGATCTATAGCTTTTACAACAGAGAGAGGATGTTAAGGTAGAAATTGAGAGACCTTGGAGACTAGAGGAACGTTATGCTCATTCTGATCAAGGATTTCCTGGAGAGAATTCAGCCTCTTAAAAGCCAGAGCCTATCTTTATGTTTCTGAATTTTCTTTTTGTTCTCCCGTTGACTTCTGTTTTACTCTTCTTCTAGTTTTTGTATCCACAGTTGTACCTATTTCCACATATTGATACGGACTTTTTCTGTTATTTTATTTGAATAACGCTAGAGCAGCAGAGTACTATTACACTGAAAATTTGAATGAATGAGTGTTTTAAGGCCTTAGTGCCAGTATAGCACAAATAATTACTTTTCTCTGGAATTCCTTACTCTTTCTAGATGTTACTATTTGGAATTCAAAATTTTGGTATTCAGGGACCTTTTTTTTTCCTGACACTATTGAGTTTTGAAATTCAATAGGCAACTTAATAATTATGGTTTAGGTTTCCATTTCCTGCCTGCTAAGGGGCAGTATTGTTTGCTTCTTCAGCTACACTACGGTTAAATGTTAAGATATTCACTAGTTTGGATAACTTTCTTGTCTAGTTTGGGTATTATAAAACAGAAATGACAATAAGAAGCCTAAATCCTAAAAATTTTGGGTCAGCTTCATGGGGAGTGGGGACAAAAATAACACTGCTTGAAGTCCTTCTCCTGAATCTTGTTACTGAAGCCTTGAAATTGAGTTTCTTATTCTGTCTAGAAAAAATATTGGCAACCAGGATAAAGAAGACGATGTGAAAGTGGGAGTTAAATCAACAGCTTTGCGCTTTGGTGAGTCAACAAAGAAGTGGATTTCTGGGTTCGGCGTTGCATGCATTGGTAGTCTTGCCTTTAGTGGATTTAATGCTGAGATTGGTATGTTTTATGACTTTGTGTTCTTCATTTGTTTCATGGTTGTGCCTATTAGCTGGCAGTTGGATTGTATTAACTGTTTTCTGCTGCATGATTATAATATATGCGCAGGCTGGCCATATTATCCTTTTCTGGGAGCTGCATCTGGGCACCTGATCTGGCAAATTTGGACAGTTGACCTTTCATCGCGTTCTGATTGCAACAAGAAGTATGTTTGTGGTTGATATTACCTTTCTGTTTTTCGGCCATAGTATTTTGTTTTCTGTTATTTTCTGATCTTGAAGTCCAATGTTCAGTGTGTTCTACTGAATTTTCACCGTTCCTTGGCAATTTATTGGTGCAAAACCTCTATTAGAGCTTTAGAAAAGCTATTACAAGTCATGTTAGTTGCACGGAGTTCGGAAATTAAGCTGCACTGTTCATGGCATATGAATAATGGGTCCTGTTAGAGGGCATTATATTGCATATAGATATAGATTTTTTTTTTTTTTTGGCGTCACCTAGGTTTGATTGTTTAGTGGTTTATTATATCATGGAAAAGAAATTATGGGATATTTATATGCATTTATGTCTTGAACTTTTCTTTATGACTTTTTAAATAAATCAGTTTTTGCTACCTATATTTTTTTGGCAGAAGGAACCCTCACCAGTCGCTATTAATTCTATGCATAGACATCAAACCGCTGGAAAATTCAGTGATAACTTATCTGCCATATATTATTTTAGTGTGCTAATTAATTGATCAGATGCAACTTGCTATGTATCTTCCACAGCGAAGTGTTTATTATGTAGTTGACGTCACCTGGAATGTAGAACTTACCATACTGCGTGACAAAGTGTGATTGGCAGCTATTGAGCATCTAGTACCCTAAGTCTTGAAAATGAACTCCAGTTGCAGGATGCTTTTAATTATTCTACGATTGTATGTTTGTTCTTGTTTCTTGCTTTTGAGCATAATGAACTCCACGTTGGCACTAATAAATTTTTCTTCCAGATTTGTCTCCAATAAGTGGTTTGGAGCTATAATATTTGGTGGAATCCTCGCTGGCAGGCTTGCATCATAGCGGTAAAGTTTTCCTTGCCAAATAATTTATCTATTTTTATTCTGCTGATAACATCAGTTTGTCTTGTCGTAGATGTATGGATACCAAAATTGACCTTATGCCAATGGACTCGACGTTGGCTTTCCATTCTGTGGGCATTAATTTTTTTACTGAACAAGACTGGCAGTTACTTGTTTTGATAATATTCAAGTTCTCTCTCAATTGGCCTATATATTTCATTTTGCAGGGCTAGTATGTTCTCAGACTCGATTCATCATGACCAAGCTTCATCAATTAGTTCCCAACATAATATTTATGCAAAATGAATTAGTCATCAGCACTCTTGGTTCTTTTTCTTCTTAGGATTATATGGCTTTTAGGGGGTGGAAGATGTTCTGGGCGCTTCATTTAGTGGAGATGAAGTAAATGGATTGGAGCTTCACTCTGATGGAAAATTGGATTTCTCAGTTGTTTTTGCTCGGTTTAATAATGCCTTAACTAACCGGATAATTCACATGTGACTTCAGTCTCAGAGCTAGTGGGGCGGAAAAAGATTCCTTCTTTAATACAAACAAAAAATGGGATATATATGATGTCTATTGTGTCAAAGTTATATAATCATTTAAACAGTGACTATCTCTTTATTATTCCTTTTCTATCAAGAATAATAGTTGTGTCGTTTTTCATCCCTAACATTGGGTTTCTTCCAAACGGTGCGAGTTTGAATTATTTGGTGCAAATCTTGCCTTCTAGAAAGATTAGTTTTTGGTGGAGAATATTCTGTATTTAGGGGAAAAAACCACAGGAAAAGGTGTTTTCTTAGGTAGGTAAACAGGTTTAGACAGGTGAGAGAAGTTTTAATGGGCATCATTGTTATTTGCTGTATTATTTGATATCAATCAAGAAAAGGAATCTCAAGGTGTATTATTGTGAAAATTTCCACATATCAAACAACTGTTTGGCATTTCCATCCTTTTTTTTATGTCATAGTTGTTAACGTAAAAGTTAGCTTGATTTTTAATTTAATTTAAAGTATAAGATTCAAATTTATTTTGTCTTTTATGTTGATTTATTTTTCTAAGATAGTCTTTACAGTAATTGTACATGTTAAATATTTTTATCAATTGACAGTTGATAAACAAAGATATTTAAAAAAAACATATTTATTATAAATTACTAATTTATCTAATTTTTTTAAACTGTTCAAATTAGTCTATTAGTTTTATATTAAGAACTAAAAGTAGTAATGACTAATAAGCTTAACAGTTTGTAGTATGAGAACATCACTATAAACACTTTGATCAGCCGCAATCCTCTTACGGGAACAAGTATGGGTAGTCATCATAGTAATAAGCGTAATAAGCTCATCATTGTGGTAAGACCAATAATTTCAATGTTTTGGATTTAAAAATTTTAATTCATGTTTTTTAATTATAAAACTATTTTTTCAAAAGCAAACAGTTAAGGTTATCTTTATTTTATATTCTGTACTCATTAAAATAATTTTTTTAAAAAATAAAAATTAAAAACATGAATATGGTGATGTGCACCTTGGTTATACTAGAGAACAAAAAACCAGACTGAATTGGTTGGTTCAACCGGTGAACCAGCTAGTAGTTCGATTTGGTTTGGATATTAAACGGGAAGGGAGTTGAACTGGTAACAAACCGATCAAATCGGTGTGAGCAAGTGAAAATCGGTAAAAATCGTGTGAACTGGTAATAAACTGGTTCGGATGATTAGATTGTTATTGATCCTATTTTTTCTCATTTGGCTCTTAATATCTCAGTTCTTATATATTTAAATGAATTTTAATGATAATTTTGGTATCAATGATTATTAATTTTAGTTAATAATGAACCATAAAGATCAAAATTCTAAATATTGTTATACTTTGTTATTATTACAATTAAACTATCATAATATTTTTTTTATATTTTTTTATTAGTGATTATTAATGTTGTTATATTTTGATATTTTCAATTAAATTATATTATTTTAATATGACTGGTTGGATCCTGAGTTGATCCCAGTCCCACCAATTGACCATTGAACTACTAGCTCAATCGGTTTAATGTCTGGTTTAGTTTTTTGTTCCTTGGGTTACACTCTAAGAAGAACATGAATTCTAGCAAGACTCATAACACTTGGCTCATCAAGTGGTAGGGGATTTATCATTCTAAATTAATTGACAGTGTTTGAATATTAAAGACCAAGCAAAAGTGTAATTTATTTTTTTATTTCACACAAAATTTTAATTTGATTTAATTTTTTATTTTTTTTTAGAATATTCAGTCTTTTAACAAGAATGTCATTAATAAAAAAATGTTGTCATTAAAATTTTAAATATTAACAAAACATTTTTAAATATTAACATATTAAATTTTTAAAATAATAATAATTGTTTAATCACTCATTTCAGTCTAAAAGTGTTAGGCCTAGAGAACTAACAAGATATTCTTTAGAATAAGAGATTAAATTAAAACCTTATATTTTGATTAAAAAAAGTAAAACTTTATATAAAATTAAAAGAACAAAGTTATGTTTCGGCCAATAAATAATTAAAAAGGTAAAAAAAAAACAGTGTTTTTGTGTGTTATAAAATAATTTTTTTCACATATTTCTCTTGTATAAGGCAAAATTACTTCTTCGTAAATAATCCAAACGGGTACTTAAGGTTCACTATTAGTAGAAGATACTCTATTTCTTTCCCTTAAAAAAAAGGGTCAACCAAGATAATGGCTTTTTTTTTAATTAAAAAAATGCAGATAGTGGCTTTTAATGGTGAGTGAGTGTGAAGCAAAGATGAAAACGAAGAACGTGAATGGCCATTGAGAAGAAGAGAAGTGGATGCTTTGGACATCTTATCACATAATCAATGGAGGGATCTGCTTTCCTATTTTATTCCAATTGAGGAATAGATGCGCGACGTTGACGTCAAGTATTTAAAAACACGACGATGACTACGCCTCTATTTTTTAATTCTTCAGTGGTTAACTTAGTCATTTACTTTCCATTTTGTTTTAAGCACAAAGGATCTAAGTTAGTGAAGTCTCTAAGATTCATCATCATTTTCTTTTTTTTATTTTTACAACAAGACAGGATAGGAGGAGGGCGAGTCAATAAGTGCCAACAACATCACTTGCAAATCACCTCCAACGACCATAATCATTAAAAAAATAATTACAATGATGTCCCAAGAAAAAAAATTACTAATAAGTCTTAATGATATTTATTACATTATAATTCGTCATTATAGGTTGTTCAGAATTTTCCATCATAAAAATCTTAAAAAGTACTCATCTGGTCTTTAATATAAGACTTAATTATTGAGTTAATTTTAGCCCTAAATATAAAACTTATTTCTCATATTTATAATTTTTTCTAAATTGTCCTACGGATACTCCTCAAACTTAACTATAATCAAGTAAAAGAGGAAAAGAGGATATTAAGAAAGATGATTATAGTATTTTAGGAAAAACATGTCATATTTCTTATAATTAACTAATTTACCTAACTTTCTTAATCTAATCTAATTAGTTAAATAAGTTATATTAAGGATTATAGAACTAATAAGCTAGTTACAGTATCATAACTCTGGAATTGGGGAAATGGTGCCACGATAATAAAAAGCCAATGACACGTGTACGCTTTTGCAACGACACGATCTTTAAACCATTCAAAGAGTGTTGAAGATACTGCTGATTGAAAATCCTTACACAAGCCAAAAATTAGCAGCCTTGCAATATAAATTTTTAGTTAGTTGCTAAAGAACTTAGGTTCCTGTTAGTATCATAAATATTTGCAAACCTTTTGGCAAAAGCTTTGCAAGAACTCAACACAGGATCATAAGGCTCAACCACTAAACTTAGAAAAACAATATTTGCTCTTTCTATTTGAAGATTCATCATCATTTGTGAAGGTCTTGCGACCTTAAAAAAAATTCAAATTATATATTCATTTGAAAATTTCAAATACCCTAGGTGTCAAGACGAGTTACTTAAGTACTCTTTCGGTTTTTAATATAAGACCTATTTACCTAATTTAATTAGATTAGGTAAGTTAGTTAGTTATAAGTAATATGACATGTTTTTTCTAAAACACCATAATTTTTTTTAATATCCTCCCTCCTTCACTTATTTGGTTATGGTTGAGGGAGTATCTATAGGGGTAATTTAGGAAAAACTGATAAATATGAGAAATAGTCTTATATTTAGGACCAAAATTAACTTAACAATTAGGTGCTATATCAAGGACCAGAGGAGTATCAATTAATTAAACATGAAGCATGCCTCTCCCTTTACAAATTTTATTAATATCAATGGCTCTTTATCGATATAAAGTATAAAATTAATAATAGATTATTCTTTGCACATACCACAAATAATTTAGCTACTTTGACAAGCCTGAATAGTGTATTTACCAATACTTTCTCAATATAATATAGGTTTACTTTTCAATTCATATGTATTTTGGCATAATAAGATTGTTATGCTTAACTGATTATTAACTCTGATTGATATATAAATTCACTTAATCACTCTCTTACAACCTTTTAAATATATATATATATATATATATATATATATATCTCAAAAGGCTATAAATTAAACACAGAGTATGAGTAGAGGCATAACTATCAAGTAATTAATTACGTTAATAATATCGATTGAATCATTGTAGACAACCACTTGTTTCATATCTCCTCCATCTGGCAAACTAAGACCTTCTAGGATGCCATTCGTAAGTTTGGATATTTTTAAATAAGGATAATGGTAATGACAATAATGATTATCAAGTAGTAAACATTAAATTAAAAAATTATTATTATTATTTTTTTGTCTTGTTCCTTTTTCTTTCTGGAGTAACCACTAAACCAACCCAATTATTGTAGTTGTTTTGACTAACAAGTTACTAATTTGGTGGTTGTTGTTCCTCACTTTCTCTTTAAAAGCATTCCGGGCACTCAATTGTGGCTTTCATCTCTAAGTTATCTATTTTTGTTTGGGTTTGATAATACTCGAATTTAACTCAGCAACACAAGATATCAGATACAGAGACGACAAAGTCCAGAAAGTTTGTTAACAATCCAACAAAAAAAAATTAGGTGGTGGAAAAAGGGAACTGGAAAAATGAGGCAACTAAAAGATGAGAACAACTAAGAAACATCTGTTGAGACGTTATATGAACAGTACTCGCACAGAGTTTGGTTACATAGTCATTATAAACCTTAAGGAATTAATGAGAGAATAGTTAACACAAGAACTGAAAAGAGAATTTCTCTTAAATTCTTTATCTATTTAATTATATTTCTACCCCATTATATCACATCTAATACTGATAATTTGGTGAAGAAAGAGGATCCAAACTTGGGCTCATCAATAGTATCATGAGTGACTAGTATAGATTATATTATAAACTAGTCTTATATTTAGAACAGGAAGTGGTATTGTTTTTGTCCTACAAACGACGGGTCAAACTAATGCTCTGCTTTGTCCAATAATGTTATCATTATTCATTTCCAATTTTCCATTAATTCTTCCCATATTCCATGTTCTTCTCTAGAATTCATAATTTATTTAATATTCCCCACTCCTTTAGCATCTCTCATTTATTTTTTTATTTTTTAATAATTATCTACACACTCTAAAAAATAATTGCAGATAATATATTCAATAATAGATTGAGAAAAAAGGTATCTGAATGTTATTAAGGTAGTGACTTTTTTTTTTGGGATAATTACACACAACGGATAATATGTTGCACTCACGAATCATACTTGCACTTGCACAAATCAGGTCCTTCTGGCCAATTAAAATTTCAAACAGGGATTTTTTTACCAATTTTCTCTTCTTTTTTGTGTGTATGCAATAACTCTCACTCTAAAAAGCATTTTTTATTCATAAAATTTAATTTCAAAATCTCACTTTAGAAAATTGAACCC